ACTTGTTCTTCAAGCTATTGTACATACAACCATTTACATGATTTAAGATAGACATGCATTGATATTTTTAAATATACATTCAACGTTTCTACATTACGTTTTCAGATTGTCAAATATTGGCATTTCTAAAGAGTATGGATAAACGTGTTTGAATCAGCAGTGGAAATAAAGAGAGAAAATGTGTTGGAGGGAAGTCGGCATTCACGGATAGTGTCTTAGTCTCAGGGGAATTTCTGAGTTGTCGTCAGTGCCGCGGTGAGTGATTATTAGCAGTGTTGCTTAAAACAAACTTATCCAGCTCAATGGGCATATTTTCAGCTCAAGGCTTTCGGAGCCCGACAGCAAACATCCACTTTACTTACAGCTCAGTATCGTGAACACTTTTAAAAAAAACCTTCTCCCTCCATCGTGACTCTACCTCAGCTGACAGATAAACGCTCAGAGGAAACTCTCGTACCAGAAACACCAGCAGAGAATTTGACCATGATTGATGTTGGAGAGTGTCTCCCCTTTGCTCAGGATCTCCGTCCCCCAACTCCAATGGTTTGGCAATTTCAAATCAATAACCTCTGAGTCATGTACATTTTGTGCTGAATAAACTCTTCAGTTATTTACTGCACATTGCCTGTACCCCCCAAAAGAATTAGGTGGATAAGGAGAAAGATAGATTAGGGGATTAGATGTTCTTTGTAAAAAGGAAAATACAGCGACTTTGTGTTGCTTAATGTGTGTGTTTAGAGACAGCCTTAGGTCTCTTGGATGGCACTGTTCTGCTGCTCCCACTTTAATTGGCTGCTGGCCCCTCAGCCTCGCCTGAAAGGAGAGTCATTTAGGGACCTTTCACTCTCAGAGGATTGTCGCTTGCCGCTGCAGGAGAAATTGCATTCCTGTTTCCATACAATGGCTGGTCTGAGTTGGATGGTGCAAGAGTATCACTGTCATTATCATGACAATGGGAGCTAATTCCACTGCCACCAGCGCCATCCTGAAGCCCTCCGCAGCACCAGCTTATCAGGGGGCACCATGAGACCAGCAGGAAGCTACGCCCGTCGGAAAGATTTATACATACAGTACGCCACAGGCAAACACATTCAGGACTTTGTTTGGAGAGGCAGTCACTGGCATGAACCAACACATCAGCAAAAAAAGTAGTTTAACTCAGCAAATCTCACTTAGTGACACACTGTGTGGGGAGACATTAATCTGTATTATTTGTTCATCTCTGAACCATTGACACCAATAAAGTCATTATTTTTAAATAAAACAAAGTTAACGTCTAACATCCCAGTGATAATAATAATGATAATAACTTTATTTATTCAGCACTTTTCAAAACAGAAAAGTAAGTGCTTTACATGGATTAAAAAGACAGAGCATGCGGTCCAAATTTGGCGACTCAAACGGAGTGGTGTCATCAATAGCTTTTAATAAAAAGGTGAGTTTTAAGAAGTGGTTTAAAAAATGTCCCTGATTCTGCAAGCCTCGGATTCTCATTCTCAGATTCTTCAAGAGCTGCGGAGATCTGATGGAGAAAGCTCTGTCGCCCTTTTTTTTGCCATCAGAGCCCTACCCGAAGATCTGAGACTGAGCACAGGCTCATAAGGGCACAACAAGTCATTGAGGTAATCAGTGATCTATCAGTCATAAATAATGCATGTTGAGCAGCCACACATTGTTCAAACTAACTATTTAAGTTCTTGACCTAGATTTCAAAGTTTTCAAAGAGAGCATTGATAAAAGTGTCAACGTTTGTTCAATATGAAGCTGGACCCATAAGACGGGTACTTTAGCTTTTACATAAAGAAAGGGGTCAGTAAAGTATCAGCTGCCTGTTTCTTCTGCTATCAGTTTGGCTAAGCTGCTGCCAATTATTTCAGCTGTGAAGACATGACCGCGTTGGAATTATTTCTTGAAGCTGACAGTGTAGAGCCTGTTTTGATCAACTCCTACGCAGACCTGACCCTCCTGTGATGGAGCATCAGGCTGTGAGTGCAGTGTGAGCCAGGTGCATGTGACATGGGAAGGTTTCCCTGTATGCATTATGTAGAAGCACTGTAGTGTGCATTACTCTTGCAGAGGGTACATTTAATGTGTTGAGTAAAGTGGAAACTCAGTCGAGCTGAAAGACAATTAGGTTGTTGGTTTGCTCCTCTTGCTCCCAGCTGTTTAACCCTCATCCCTGTTTTGTTCATTTGCACCATTTCACTGCAGCTCTGCACACTGCTCTGACCCCATTATCTGCAGCTTTTATCCCCCCCCCCCCTCACTCCGGGTGTATCATCATCTCCCATCCAGCAGGATCTTTCTCTGTTCACTGAGAAGCCTGAGCGGTGTTGGACCTCGGAGGCGCCATTAAACACTCACTGACCTGATCCGCATTTAAACCACACACAAACAAACTCACACACAAAAAGCAAAAACACTTACTCCCCTACCTGAGTAAATTCCTGTGGTGTGTAATGGTACCACATTTGTTTTGTAAGCTGCTCGTATCAGGTTTGAATCCCTGCTGGAATTTGTCTGGTTTTACTTTACACATACTTAACACACTGTAAAAAATATATACTCACAGACTTAACACAATACTTAATGTCTTTAATGTATAGCATTATATGTCACTTTCTATTCTCTTTAGGATTTGAGCTTTATTTATTTCAATTCATACTTTGGAAGATGTATTTAGATCATCCTTGATGCACAACTGGATTCCTAAAATCAAATGTAGGCTACTGTTCAGAATCAGTTAAGCAGATCAAGAAACAATTACTGCCAAGCCAATTGACTATGTATCTCTGACAGTTATTCTCCTTTTTTGTTTAATTCATATTTCTACTCATTCCTCCTCTCTTCTGGAGTCAGGGACGTGTGGCCTCTGTTTTCTGTGTGTTATTCAAACAGAGGTCGTGTGAATTACATTACATGTCATTTGTTAGACGCTTTTATCCAAAGCAACTTACATACATTCAGTACTGTGGACAATCCCCACAGGAGCAATTTGGGGTGAAATGTCTTGCCCACACAACGACATGCTGACTGCAGTGGGATTCGAACTGGCTACCCCCTGATTCCAAGTCCAGCACACTATCCACTGAGCCACAGCCACCCAATATTGCCTCCATTCAGGTTCAGATTGATCCTGTAACTGAAATCCTCATTCCTCAAAATATTGGATACTTACCAGTATTTTCATGATGTTTTTCTCAAATATGAAATTGGGGATATTGGATAGCAAGTCTTTCAAAAGATAGTTAAATCTTGATATGGGCATTACTGTAACAGCAACGTTCGCTGTCCAAGGTGCTGAATCGTTCCCGTCAGCAAACATTTTCCTTTCTAGGTTTTTCATGATCATCGAGACCAGGATGTCATTTTGTAAACTCAGCCATAGTTTACCTTTCCTTTCTGGGATCATGTAATCTCTGAATACAAGAAACCACTGCCTCACAGGATGTTCTGTAATTATTGGCACAGCTGCAGTCAGGAAATAATTACAAATACCTTGTGTGTCGTTTCTCATATCAAACATTAAATCCCACTTTGCTGTCAAGTTATTATTATTAAATTGTTGGGGATCAGAAAAAGAAGGTCACTTTATAAATAAAGCTCTCCAACTTCAACTATATTGGTATGACAGATGGTACACTGTACTCTCCATACTAAAGCACATCTCCTTTTGTAACTGCATCATTATCTTTTTCTTGAATGCATTTCCTCCCTGCTTTTACAAGGGATAAAGGTGTCATTTCTGTGTGTCAGATCATTATGAAAGGAGCTGAAGCTCATCGCTATAGGATAAGTTGTAGGATCACTAATATTGTTATATTTAATTCCTACCCATTTGATTGTTGTTTTTCATTCAAAAGCTCATTCAACCGGGATGGGTCCTCTTTTGGGAAACGTGACTCATGAATATGCAGAACATTTCTTTGCATTTAATAGCCAATGAGGCCTTTTATTCCTGATTTAAGTGGTGGAAAATGGCTTAAAACATAAATATGTATTATTAACTGTACATTTAAAAGTGTCTGGTCTGATAAACAGAAATCCTAGATTTAGAGAATGAAGGCATCATGGGGCTCTGTTGCTTTTATACTTATCCAGAATGTGAGGGCATTTGAGCTTTAACACTAGAACCGCCAAAGGGTACATTTTACCCACAGCTGTTTCTTGATTGTATGTAACTTTTTTTCAATAAAATATTCAAGTCTCCCAGTCCGTGACTTTTCCTGAAAGTGTGTTATGTAGCACCCTCTGCTGTTAAACATTGTCAATATGAAGTCAGATTGAAAAAATGGTCCTAAAAATGGCCATTTATACCCATTAGCGTCAGCGGGTAATATTTACCTTATAGAAAATGCAGTGATTTTCGCGTGAAAACATAAACATGACGTGTTGCTATAGCAACGCCTGTTGTTTACGGCGGTTCCTTATAGATAGAGACAGAGAGAGAGATAGATATATAGATAGATCGATAAATAGTTAGTTATAGATAGATCGATAGATAGAGAGAGAGATAGACACTTTTAGCGATATTTTATACTTCATGCTATCTGCACACTAGATACCTGAGAGTCCACATATTCTATTGGTATAAGTTTCATCACTGTGCATTCCAAACTCACTGTTAACCCTGTGTTCTAGTATGATAAATAAAAGAACATTGTACCTTGAAAATCAATGCATTCTAATAGCGGGTACATTTTACCCGTTGGCGGTTTTAGGTTTTAGTGTTTTAATAATCGACTTCATTGCTTTAGTGTTTTTGTATTGCTGCTGTTATTTGCCCTTTGCTACAGTTTGACAAACGATGTGCTTTCAACGTGGCCCGACATCACAACTGTTAGAAGTCTGATCTTTTATTTCTCCTCATTCCTGCAAGCAACATTAAGAGACCTGCTACTTTCTTTCTAAATGCCGAACCAAATCGATTTTGAGGTTACATAGGGCCGGAAGATGAAGAAGATACAGCATGCTTTTATATAAAAGAATAAAACAAGGAGTTTTAGACACATGATATAACCCTTTAATAATAAGACATCTTGTATTACATGTAGAGTATATACAGCACATCTAAACTACATTGACAAACATTAGTGGCCTTGGTCCCAACCAACACCTTGTTTCACGTCCTTAAGAAATCCGGGTCACCTGCCATCCTCCCAGCGACCAATGTGCTCTGCAGCTGTGAAACGCACACCAACAAAGACATTTTTTACAGAATTGTACATGTTGAGAAAATGCACAGCAAGAAAGGAAAAGGGGAGTTCAGTTTGTCCCATAAATCCTTCAATGCTACATGGCTGTGAGGAAACATGATATAAAAGACTACTCCTTTCAAATGGATATGGAAACACACACTCCCACCCACATGCACAGACGGTACTCTGGAGAAACATAGCTTAGTGTTTGCCTCAGGCTGTGTGATATCCACTTATCATTTTATCACCAATTAGCACAACACAATAATGAAGGCTGGAAATGAGTCCGATGGGGTGGTGGGCTCTGTGTGCTTATAATCAGCTGAATTTATGCATCTAACTTTTTGCTGCTTCAGTTAAATGTTATTTTTTTACTCATGACAAAACATATTCACATGTTTAGCTGCAGTTTGAAGATGCAATGTGTAATGCCTGGCCACCTATATCACAAATAATCACCAATAGTGACAGCATTTTACCTATACTTCTCCTGGGTCCATACAAAAAGTACAATCATCATATATAGAAACTAAAACAGACTATGATATGCTAGTCCTGTTGTAAACTGAAACAAACTACTAAGAGTTGTTTTAGAATGCCATCTTGGCAATGTTGACCGCATTCAGAGCTGATCCCTCATTCAGCTGTGAGTGATCAATACAAGATTACACACCGACCACTTGCAAAGACAACTCAAGTGGACAAAACTAAACATCTGCCACCGTCTCATTCCTTAGGATCAATGTAAGTGCTATGTGTGTGGATAAACACTGCAGGCCTTTGTTGAGTTGACACATATTGATCGCTCATAGGCTCTGGATGGTGAGCACTGAGTGCCATTGATTTGGACTGAGTGCCATGTTTAAATGTGTAGACAGGATCACAAACATCTTCCATGTCATGGTTATGTCATTAATGGACACACTGGATTAACATGTTAGACGTCACTCCGCTGTGATTATCAGTGACAGATCGTTTTTATGGACATAGTAAAGCACAGAAGGTGCTACTATCCAAACAAATACAAATTGCTGTACCGGTCCAAGTTATATTGTTTCCATTAAAAGCTTTTTTAAATAAATGCTTAATGTGAAAGACTTACTTGTAGAATTGAAATGAGAACCCATCTGAATTAGCCTAGACTTAAAGGGGACCTATCATGCAAAATGCACTTTTTTATATATATATTGTGTCCCCGTTGTGTCAGGGAACTCACGCAGCGTCAGAAAATAATACCCTCTCTCTTTTCCTTCGTACCCAAATCTCTAAAAACGGGGCTACAACGGAGCTGATCCAGATTTGCGTCCGATATGACGTCACGCCACGCGTTTCAACATGTTGAAACGCGTTGAATCGGCCATGCAGGCAGTCGGCCAAAGAAATCACTCTGATCGCTTCCGCCTCTTGAGAGACTGTTGCTTGAGAATGTCTTCCACAGGCAACACTCCAATGGCTGATAGCTCCAGTACCGCACGAAACATGTTTTCGATGGACGAGAGTGAGACGAGTTCTCTGGTGACTGCTTGGTGTGTCAGGGCCTTTACACTCAGAGCTAACCTGTACTGGATAGCATGTGTGTGAAGAAGCAGGAAATAAAAAGGAACTCACCTTGTGGTATAATAACCGGCAAGAGAGAAAGCCTTTGAGCTCCATACTGTTTCAGAAATAATCCTTGATAATCCATGATATGGCGTTTCATCACCGCAGTATCTGCCGGTAGAATCTCCCGCATGAGCTCAGCCTCCTCCTTTTTTTTATCAATTTTAATTTTTTTAAGCTTTATACCCAAAATCAGCACTTTTGAAACAGGAAGTGAAATAGAGGGATATGAGGCATGGCTAGAATGGGTGATCTGTTTGGTATTTTGAGCAAAACACTTCATAGTCATGTTTTTTATATATTTAAATGTTATATATCTGAGACCTATGCTATTGCCTAAATATAGCATGATAGGTCCACTTTAAACATTCCTACATTTATTAAACACAATCTAACAAATAAAAACATACACTTTTATTATCATAAATAAATATTTATATATTTTAATAAATGTTACACAAGCAACTTGGTTGAAAATCTTCCAAATTACAATTGAAGTGTTACGTGATTTAATGCAGCAACAAATTATTCAAAACCTGAAATAAAATTCTAGTATATAATTTATAAAGTATTTAAACATTCAATTAAATTGAAAAATAGGTCCCATTTTCATCAAACCTGATGCATTTGTTTGACTCAGTATCAGCCTGATATACGGTTATTCCTATTGAACTTACATTCCTCAGTTGTATCGTCATGTTGGTATAGAAACAAGGTATGATCCCTCAATGTAAAGTATATAACGGCTGTTTTTCTGGTGGTAAAAATGACTGGACATTAGGAACCCTTTCCCAGAGTGGCCGCTCACCACCATCACTACCAATCATTCAGGTGAACAACATAACGGTCTGGGCAAAAATATCACCCCCATTGAATCCTGTTCTAATTGGACCAGCACTCCAGTTTTGGAGAGGAATCTGTTCCACTATGAAGTCCAGAGCCTGGTGGTTCTGCACATCAGTTGGAGCTTTACAGGCAGTAGCATGCTACGTTTAGGGGGAAATATGAGACATGAAGCCCATCTTCCCTAAAGTTAACTGAGCACATGCTACTGCAGTGGGACAAATTCACCCAACCATGCATTCAATTTGTACAGTCGGGAGCATTGCTATTAAAGCTCCGTAATTTGGTTTTGTGCCCAAAGAATGTCTAAAAAGGTCAACATAACTTTGTGTGGTCATTTGTAGAAAAAATAACTTCAACTTTACACACTCAACATTTTGTATCTTCAGAAGGACTCTTACCGTGCAGGCAGATGTATCGGTTCTGCGTTTTACATCGCTGGTCGTTCCAGTTAAAGGCACTTGACGCCTGCAGCTCTACACAGTTTCCAAAGCTGGACAGAGAAAGACAAATATTGAGTGACTCTATGTTCTGAGGTTTTTTCACTGGCTTTTCTGAACTACTGAATACTAAAATGTTATTGTAAAGTTGAGGGGGGATCTTTTTTTCCAGATCACTTTAGTCTGATTGAATCTCTGATGAAGCAGAGGAACCACCACAATAAGTTATATGTTATACTACAGTTACTCACAAAACCAACAAACAGATTCCGTCTAAGATATATAAATCACACTTTAATATTGTAATATAAACATGACAAGTTTTGTAGTTAATTATAAACACTAAGAATTACTTATAGACAGATAGATAGATTAATAAAACGGAGTAAGGGAGGCAGAAAGAGAGAGACATCTAGTGGTCAGAGTGAAGGTTGTCAGTCAGCCAACATCTGTCTTTTCCTCATCAGTCCATAAATAAAAATGTAATTATTTGAGAAAATCTCAGTAGATAATGTAATTTGAATGTGAAAACACAACACATTAGAGACAAAAAATACAGTATGTATCTCTCGCAGTAATATTTAGGTAATACATAATGTAGAACCAAAGGCATACTCATCTGTAGATAAAAAAAGGCTGAAGATCCGGTCAAAAAAGTAATGTTCTACCTTTAAGATGATTTGTTTGTTCGTTTGTTGAGATCCATTGCACCTATACTTTGCAGTAGTGACTGTTAGTAAATGTGTCTCTTACCCTTGGTTGTCCGGTTGCCCAAAGGCGAAGCTGCTGAATCTGGGGATCTCGCCTGTGTCCCAGCGAAATGAGTCTTTCAGAGGCTTATATGTCAAACCTGTGGAGTAAAAACATTGTTTTTTTGTCCGTGCATCATTTCCACAACCTCCACCTGGTAGTACATCTGGTCTAAACCACAGCTGAGTCTGCTAATCTGGTGTTGCTGCCAGGTGTGAGAAAATAGTATGACATTTTAACATGAATGGATGAGGGAATAATGTACCAATCCAGAAGTTTCGTGTCTCAAAGTCCGTGTTGGTGACCTCGTTGCTCGTCTCCAGCTGACTGATATAAAACGCCAGGATGTCCTGAACCTTCTGATTGTGGATCTGAGCAAGAATCCCCCCTCGTCCCTTGTGGTGTACACAAGAGAAAAGGCCACAGTGAAAGCAGAATTAAAAGCCCTCGTATCTAGTTTTAGATGTATTATGGCGGTAGAGCTTGTCTCAACACACACCTGTCTCTCACCTGACAGTGACTCTTGGCTCCATAGTAGGTGTCAGCTTCTGAAGACACCACGAAGCAATCACCGTCTATCATCGCGTCACAGCTGTGGAAGGGAAACTGCACTTTCTCTGTAGGGACACAAGCCAACAAAATATGGTGAAAATGAACACTAATGATGCATACCATCAACAAAAGGGAACTTGTAGTCTCCTGTAAGCAATTACAGTTGTTAATCTGGATGAATTGTTAAAGAATAACAGTTTCAGAATATGTTCAGAGAGATTAATAAACAAACAAAGAAAATATATGAATGCTCAAAAATGCTTTGTAACACATTTGCAAAGGTGCTACCTACCTGATATAGCATACTTTAAATCTAATTTCTAAATTAGAATTTGTGCCCCCTTTGACAAGTTAATATGCTAATGTTTTCATCCCATTTTCACAATGTCACCAACGTTGGCATCCCTTAAAGTGGACCTATCATGCTATATTTGAAAAATATATTGTAGGGCCATACCTATATAAAACATGTCTGTGAAGTTTTAAAAAAAACAAAAAAACAGATCATGCATTTTAGCCATGCCTCATTTCGCTCTATTTGCTCTATTCCAGCCCTGTTTTTGCAAGGGCTGATTCTGTGACGTAGCTTTAATGCAAATGAGCTGCAGCTGACCACGCCCCCCTGCAGGAGAGGGGGGCGTGCTCAAAGATCAGCTGCTGGGCTCTCAGAAGAGGGGGAGGAAAAGAGAGGCTCCGTCCTCCGTGTATTATTCTTATATGATTATATAGAGTCGTTATTCATTTGTTTAAAAGCTCAATAAATAACAAAGAAGACCTCTGACCGGCACTTCTCTAATTTTGTCCGGAAGATTTCAACTTTAACAGACATGTTGACCGGCGAAAAAAAATCTAACTTAAACTCTGCCGCACGGTCCCCTCGTCCCTTGGAAGAGGCGGAGAGGTAGGTGTTTGTCATCTGCTGGTGGACTACCAGAGATATTTACAGCAGGTGCAAACACTTGCCTCGGGGAGGGAGAAAAAGAGCCAGAGCGTCCACAGCAGAGAATAAACAGAAGGGCAACCATGGCAACCATGCGCGGGAAGTCTTCTTCGCTGCTTTTGTGGCAGGACTACAGCGCCACTTACAGGCCTGGCATATGTACTACAGCGTCTCCAGCGCTTTCGAGCGGTCTCGTGTGAACGGACACGTCTCGTGTGAACAACACTATTCCGGGCTGACGTCAGCTCGGATGGAATCTGTATCCGCTCGTTGTAGCCCCGTTTTTAAAAGATTTGGGTACGGAGGAAAAGAGAGAGAGTTGTATTTTCTGACACTTGGTGAGTTCCCTGGAACACCGGGGACACATATTCATGTATAAAAGACGTACAAAAGTGCATTTTGCAAGATAGGTCCACTTTAAGATATATACAGAATGTAGCAGCAAGCAGATGGATTTTACTCAGCACAGTTCTGCCTGTTTGAGCTTGTGAATTGAAACCTGCGTCTCAGGGTACACATTGCTGAGGTATATGAAAACACAAAGAGGCACACTGCACTCACCTGCACACTCAGCACCACCATAGCCAACATTACATAAGCAAGAGCATTCTTCTTCTTTGAAACGACCGTGCACACACTGCACACTGCAGCGCACTGAAAGACAGAGCCTTAGTTCAGTGAAATCGGCCACTCTACTTTGAACAGACAGGAAAACAGACATATTTAATGAGACCTGGTACTAATAAGGGTATTATCTCGATACTACTTGGTTTGATGTTGATGAGTGGTACCCTGGCAGAGGCGTCCGGTGAAGCCCCGGTCACACGTGCACTTGCAGGATGAGATGTTAAGATGGCCGTGCTGACCGCAGCTCATTCGACACGGATTCTTTGGAATCTCTGACAAAAAAATATACATTCAACACAAATATGCACGTTACAAAATAAACATATGGAAGTGTTACATTAGATCATATTGGTTAACATCATTGCCGCAGTATTGTGATTATTGTTCTATTATAAAGGCCAAATACCATGGAAATCACAAAATACTTTATAAATGGCAAAACTGCGTATCGGGCACAAACATTGAACAAAAGATTTCATAAGCAGAAATATTACAATTGGACTAAATTTGCACTTCTAACAATTGCTAAAACACATTGATGGTAAATGTGCAGAAATGTATATCAGCAGCATAATGGGCGTAACTACAGTAATAAGTAATAGTATTATTCATAAATAGTTTTTTTAAATCACCTTAGATTATAATTCTATGTATGCATGTCTGTTTCAAGGGCTTGCATTTAATCAATGTGGAATGTCCTTGCCTATTACATTTCTTAGCAGAGAACTCACTATGTAACAGAAAAATGTGCCTCTGTAGCCACCTTAATGTTTATATATTGTCTTACCACATAATCTACCTACATGGTCCCACAGTCTGAAGCAGCCAGACATTGAAGAGGTGCAGAGAGAGCAGTACAGCCCCGTCTTATAGGGAGTCACCAGCCGACCGTTCACCTCCCAGTTCCCCCTGCAGCAACACAGATATACAGAACACTGCAACATCTGGACACAATCACACACAATCTAGAACTACATCTTTTTAAAATGTTTTAATATATATATATAATCACATGTGTGAGGCCTTCACATAGGTAGTGTTACATAATAGTTCATTTTAACTGTATGTACGGACTCCCTGAAAAGTAGTATAAGCCTTTGATATAATTATTGCCGTTTTCAAGAGCGTAATGGTATTGAGCTGGATGGCAGATAAAACCCTTAGTATTGGCTTTATTTTTTTACCACGCAATTCTCAGATGAATTTAACAATCTCATTTTAGGTTGATAAAGTGTGTCATTGTTACCCAGGGTAATATGCGCAGACAAACATCTCCCAGAGGTCTCCTTCCCTCAGACAAAGCTGGCTGGCACAGCCCACATGACTCGAGGTGGCCCACACCAACTACACAACAACAGATGGGTCAGACACACAACATTAGCACTATTGAAGAAAAAACACAATTATGAGAATCTCTGACAAACATGTGTACAGCTTGTATCTTATTGTTAATACCTGTGTATAGTGCTGACAGGTGGCATTCTCCCTACATTGCCCACTCAGGTAAAGAAAATCGTTCCCCTCTTCAAACCAGGAGTGTATGGCATCAGAAACTGAAGTGAGACCACGGTGGGCAGAGACGTGTGTGTTCCAGCCGATATGACTGAGAGGTGAGGATTGTTGATCAGGAGGATCTGTGTGACATGATGCCGCCCTGTCCTTTGCAAGTAAGGCCAACTTATCACTCCACTCCTATAAAGACAAAAATAATATTTCATATCATAAAAACATCTTTGATTCCCAACAATTACTGTAAAAACCTTCAAAGGAATACGTTATACTAAGGTCTTCTCTGGCAGTATCCTACTGTACATGCACACAGGGAAGATGAAATCAGACTGACACTGATTGTAGTTAAAAAAAGCAAATGTTAAAAAAAGTATCTGTGTGTTTCAGAAGCTTACCATGTTATTTGATTTAAACATTTTAAATCTTGCTCTATCATTTTCATAATCGGGGTACAACAAAAAGGTCTGACATTACAGTTTTTACAGTTTAAAAAACAAATTCTGATTTAGTTTAACCCCACATATATAATGAAAAATGTAATATGTATGTTAGTGAATGATTCATAATCAATAACATCAACAATTAGCAATAGGGTTGCCGGTTCAAGTCCCCAAACAGACCTAAATATGGAGTGTGGACTGCTACTTGGAGAGGTCCCAGTTCACCTCCTGGGCCCTGCCGTGGTGCCCTTGAGCAAGGCACAGGACAACCCCCTTCCCCCCCCACTCCCATTGCTCCCCGGGCGCCGTAGAATAGCTGCCCGCTGCTCCTGGTACTAGGATGGGTTAAATGCAGAGGCCACATGTCACTGTGTGTGCTGTGTGCTCTGCATGTGTGACCATTAAAGAGGGGTTTCATCTCTCCGATTCTATTCTATTCTAATAGGATATTTCCATCACCTTATTCAGTATTAAAATATGTTCTTGAGGTCTGTTTGACTCGGGGCTGCATCTTAAAACCGAAATGAAGGTCATTTTGTACTTCAAATATGATTAAATCTGGATGAAAGGAAAAACTCTTTGGCATGAAGGTCATTCCTAATAGTGCATGAGTGATTTTCTTTACCCGCTTAATCCTTTTCAGGGGTCGGAGCCAGACCTCGAGTCCAGCAGACAACAGACAGAGAGACACCTTGGGCGAACTGCCAGTGCAGGACCAACAAACACTGACTGACACCCATGGTGTGCTACACTGGTAAAAACACCTCACTATGGGGCACATTTCCCAAGATTTGCAGTGGCTAATTCAAATAAACAACACACAAACTTTCCACAATCAATCACTCTGCCATATTTGCTGTAGTACAAACATCACATTGAGGTAAGCTCTCACTACTAGGAAAGGCAACCACAGGTGGAAAGACACAGATTCAAGTTAAAAAGTTTCATTTTTTGTAATAACATGTTTTTATGTTTGAAACACTCTTGGGTGCCACTTTCATAAACACATATTTTTAAATGAATGGGTGAATACAATATTACTAAGAATGTGTGGTTTTGTATTAATGATGTTGGGCAGTAGCATTACTTAGTAAACTGTCAAAGTAAGGAAATTACTTTTATAGTAAATATTAGTGTAATTAAATAGATTAAACTGTTTATTCCCTCAAATGCAGTTCCCAGTAATGCTCTGTTACTTTAAAATGTTACGGGGTCAACTTGTCTTTATGGGAGTTTGATGGAGGGTTGATATCACTATGGTCTCTTCACTGAGCGTGATAAATGGTGTTTTTTGTTGCTATATGTTGAATTGTTGAACCCAGCAGCTCCACAGTCTGGGAAGAATGTGTACCTGTTGATGGTCAGTATGTACCATGGATGTAGCATAAGAAACGTGTGTTACTGCTTATTAACCCTTTAGAAATGATGATGTATTAAAGGTCCCCTATTATACAGTCTTTCATCAATATATTATAGGTCTCTGATATATACAAAACATGTCTCTGAAATGTTTTGCTCGAAATACCCAACAGATAATTGCAGCATCCCATAAACCCCTCTGTTTCAGCCCTGTTTCAAAAGTGCTGATTCTCTGTCTGTTACTTTAGATGAAAATAAGGAGCCACTCCCCACGCCCCTCTGTGAGATATTTGGTTATAAAGAACACTATGGTGCTCTAGGAGAAGATCCAGGTGATAAGGTGGGGGGCGGTTACCTTGGTTGGTGATTGGCTAATGGTTACACAAGCCAAAAAAAAATTATAACATCATAAAATGGCCAAAATCTGATCAGCTTATTTTCAGACAGGTTTTTATATAAATGGATCAGGACAAAAAGTGAGTGAAACTTTTTTCCTGAAACTTTCAGAATCTCTTTACACAGAGGGGACTGTTTATGTATAAAATACATGAATACGTGGATTTTGCATTATACGTGACCTTTAAATGAATGGGTGAATAGAATATTACTATGACTGTGTGGTTTTGTATTAATGCTTTTGGGCATTACTTAGTAAACCCCATCAAAACCCGGACTGTTTCCTTCACCCGCCCTGCCCCCTGGTTCACCACCGAACTCCGCCGCTTGAAGGCCTCTGGTCGCCAGCTGGAGAGGCTCTCCAAAAAAACTGGCCTCACCGTCCACCTCCTGGCCTTTCGTGACCATGTCAAAACTTACAAGGAAGCTCTCTCCCACGCCAAGACTCATTACTACTCCTCATCGGTGCCCAGCAAAGCAACCCCACTACTCCGCCCCCCTGACGCCCCCCAGCCCTCAGGGGCTCCCGATCTGTGCTCCAAATTCCTCGACTTCTTCCAGGCGAAAGTCGAGGCCATCCATCAGCAGCTCCTGGTGCCTGGCCCTCCCCCCCTACCTGCACCTCAGCCACCTGGTAACGCACCCCCAGCGCCGCGCCTCTCCCACTCCAACCTCTCCTCCTTCTCCCTTGTGGATGCTCTCCAAGTGGCCAAACTGGTCAGCTCGGCCAAAACCTCCACCTGCTCCCTGGACCCCATGCCCACAGCCCTGGTCAAGGACTGCCTACCCACCCTCTGTCCCTATGGTGGTCATCATCAACACTTCTCTGGCTTCTGGTATAGTCCCCACCAGCTTCAAAATGGCTTCAGTCACCCCCATACTAAAAAAACCTGGCCTGGACCCCGACGACCTCCAGAACCGCCGGCCGATCTCCAACCTTCCTTTCCTAAGAAAAACTCTGGAAAGAGTGGTCGCCGGCCAACTCCATCTATACATGTCAGGGGTAGACATTAAGGGTAAAAATATACTGGCCCGGAGATTTTCATTATCACTGGCCCCACCATTGTAACCACTGGCCCAAGAGAATTCGTCCAAAAAAATCGACTCTAATAAGGAAGAAAATGAACACATTTGTTGCAATAGTAATTTATTTACAAACTACATTACTACTATACTACAACATTTCAATCGTCAGTTCTTCCTCATTTTCCTCCTCGGTCGGTTGATTTTGCCGTCCTCCTGATGACCAGGCTGTAAATCCTGGACGTCTGGCTCTTGACCCCGACTGCCACCACTGAAAAACAGCTCTCTTAGCATTAAAGGTATCCAGACTAGGCCCTTCAATGGTCAGGAATATGAGACGAGTGAGATTTTGGGTCGACAGTGAGGACCTCCAGTCGCTCTTCACCCTCTTCATGCAAGAGAAGCCTCTCTCACATGCTGCGGTACTGACAGCCATTGTTAGGTAGATCTGGGCAAAGATGCCTAGGTTCTTAAACTGGGTCTGTAGATCACCTCTCTGGAGTATTTCCAGGAGAGTGTCTCTGAGGGGCCCATTCCGCATTCTTGCCCAGATTTTATAGAGCCTGTACTCTCCCAACACCTCAGTGACTGTGGTCCCCTCACGCACCAGGATGCTCTGGTAATGGTGGCACAGGGACTCAATATTTGCTCGTCCATGGAGGACAAAGGCTTCTTTGGACTCATCTGAGTTGTCCAGTTTTGGCCACACATTATGATCAAGAGCTGAGAATGTTTGCACAATGCTCTCGGTAGACAGCAGGTCTCCCAGACGGCTCTCAATATGTTTGGTAAGCATGTCTGTAATTTTCTTCCTGTCTGTAGCCAGTGTGTCTGTGGTGGTGTTTTTTAAATCTATCCCTCTATAGGTGCCATTCATTGCATCAGCCAACATCTTCCTTTGCTGCTCTCCGGGCTCCAGACACAGCTCTGTAAGGCCATTGAGGCAGGCCTCAATCTACTGCACTGCCTCCCCTGGTGTCAGACTATCCTGCTGAAACTGGAGGCTCAGTGCCTTGAGAAAGTCCAGTGTATCCAGCAGGAAGTGCATGAACTGGACATTGGTGTGGCTTTTGAGGTAGTGGGGGATGTTCTTTGCCCTTCCCATCACTGCAGGTGAAGGTCGGGTTGTCCTCTCTGGGCTGACCTGGTCCTCAAAGTGGGCCACAAAGATTGCATAGCTATTACACAGGATCTGTGTTGCCTTGTAGATGTAGGGCAACCACCTGGACCCCTTCAGGTTTGTAGGCTTGAGGACCTTCTCCTCCATTGCATCTGCCAGCATCCTCAGCTCCCTCAGTGCCTTTGGAGAGTAGTGGTATTGCTGATGCAAATATTGCAGCACCTCCTGCAGCTGCTTCAGCCTCTGATTCTCTTTTATTGAATCCACCAGACCCAATTCCAGCCTGTGTGCCACACAGTGTATAGCAAGCAGGTGTGCAATCTCTTCCTTCAGCTTTGCAGCCACACCATTCCTCTTCCCCAAATTGACAGCCGCACCATCATCGCATAGGAAAACCACCTTTTCCTTCCAGTTATCCAGACCTGCTTTTTCAAACAATGTCTGTACTGCAGAAAGTACACCATCTGCATGTGCGTGTTTGACATCCTCAATGCCAAGGAAGGACTGAACCACTCCTCTCTCCTTATTGAAGAACTTGACATAGACAATCTCATTCTCAAGGTTGCCATTCTCATCAGTTGCCCCGTCAATCATCACACTGATATAGCCTGCATTCTTTAGGTCAGAAAGCAGTTGCTCCCTCTCCACATTGTAGATATCAATTGTGAATCTGAAGGTAAAAAAAGGGAATTTCATTAATAATGAAGGAATTGTAAAAAGTTAATTAAATAGTAAATTTGGAATGTACAGTATTAATGTATTTGTGATTCTCACCTTAAACATGCCTTTTCTGACAAGTAACAATTGGTCATGTTGGAGCCAGTCCTACTGTTGAGCTGCACCAG